AGTGCTGCAGCAAAGCGTTTATCTGTCATCAGCCTGGAAACTAAAACACACACACACTTTTCATCTAACTGTATTTTTTAAAATAACAACAACAAGAAAATAATCAGTTTCTCTAAATTAATAAATGACATCAAACTATTGTTCACTTGAAATCCTCTTACATCCTCACCATCATGTTTCTTCCTCCAGTTTGGCGCTGAAGTCACGGTGAGGTCACAAAGTCTCGTTCTGAGCGCCTGGATTAAACCCGCGCGTTCATATCGCTTACATAACTGATTAATGCTGTAACGCCATCAAACAGTTCCGACAGAATGAGGCGTGTATTTACAAACTAGAAGCTACCCACGCGGGTTATTATTAACTAATTTGGATGTGAATGAAAAACGCGTCAAACATGTGCGCGTGATCGATACGTTTGTGGGTAAATTTAGGCCACAGCGACGCACTGATCCGACTCCAAGTCGGAGTGGAATAAATGTGAAATGACATTTCAGGCGGTCTGCTAATAAAGGTGCGCGTCAGGAAATATTTAAGGAGTGATTTTGTTTTTGCACACGTGCACGGTGGAAGAGCAGAGCTGTGCAGCAGGAGGCCTCTGACGCGGTAAAAGTCTCCTTATTGTCACCAAATTTACGATGGTCAAATAAAAATGTGAATTTAGGACAAAGTGGATCCGACAAAGTGAAGTAGCGTTGAGACATTATGGAAGTGCGTGGATTTTAAATGTGAGCGCAAAGAGTCCGGCATCATGTGGACACCGGCACGGGAGCCCCTCGGGTCACTCTTTAACAGAAATAAATGCGCAGTGAGGCTTTATTGGCGCAGATTACCTGAGCGACTCTGACCACTGCTGCCGTGCGCACCACAGACCCACGTGTGTGTGTGTGTGTGTGTGTGTGTGTGTGTGTGTGAAAGCTACCACTAGTCGCCCCCAGTGCTCTTCAGTCTCCACTTTCCCTTCTCACCGCAGACTGAACGTCACGTCCGCACTTGAACTTGAGTTTTCTCCCATCGTAGAAGCCAGAGAGCCACACAGAGCCGCTCAGAGCCGCACGCACAGTCCAGGGGATGCGGGACGCACAGACAGCAAACACAGTGGCTTTGCTTTGACTCGAACAGTTAGTCTCACCCGCCCGGCCGCTGCTGTCAGTGCGGTAGAAGTGCCAGCCACTTGGCCACATTTCGAGAAGTCGGGAAGAAAACTGGATTCCTTTTTTACGCACGTCTCCACCGCGCAGGAGCGGGCAGTGTCCGGCGTGGCCGGATAGTGGACACAGGTAGAGACTGACCATCAGGAGGTGACCTCTCGCCCCCTTCCGTCTCTCCATCCTTCACTCTCCGCTCCTCTCTCGGATCGCCGCTGACAGATGGTGTGAAAGCGACGGAGAGAACAGCGACCCCCTCCCTCACCTCAGATCGAAGAAAGGAGGCGCACAGACACATTGGCACCAAACTCCGCACGAGCGCCCGGCGCTGCGCCACGGCCGGCCACCGCGGAACGCAGGAGCCACTGCCCGCTGAAGAGATCACCTCCAGGGCGAGATTCGGCCCAGCGTGTAGTGGTCAGCTCGGGGGGGCCGACAAGCAGGCTGTTTGTGGGCGGATTGGTCGGTGATAGGAGCCGGAGCGGGGAGAGGAGGAGGAGAGCCGACCCTTCCAGCGCCGCTCTCCGGGCGATGCCAGTGTAAATGCCAGGGCGATGTCCCGACGCAAGCAGGGGAATCCGCAGCACCTGTCCCAGAGAGAAATCACGCGTAAGTGTTGACACGTTCAGTTTTTCACGCGTGACTGTGCAGAGGAGCTGATTTATTGAAGCACTTTTTCAGGTGATAAAATGAATATTTTCAGAGCTGGAACAGAAAGTTTGCTTCCCCGAGGCCGTCCCCTCCTCTCTCAGTTCACGGACAAAATTAGAGAAACGCTTTATTTTTGCGTTACTCTCGATAAATAATTACAGTGAATTAGAGTAAAACAAAGTCCACAGCCGCGTGGACTTTTACTGCAAAATCGCTCGTGGAGAATTTGTACTTTTTTCAAACTTTATTCTTCCACCTCTTGTTTGAAACGAGGGCGAGCAGCGTGATCACTGCGGGAGAATTACACGTTATTTGTAATGTTTTTCAGCTTCACGCGCTCCCCGGAACACATTAAACAAAGGTTAAAAAAACAAACACGTCATGTTAGAAAAAATACATTCGAGCTAATTCTGCTAATTTCTTTTTCCGCGTGGATCCCTCACGCTGACGCGTCGGAGAACTTTACACGTTTTCAACAAACAGGGTTGTCAAAAAAATCGTAATTTTATTTCCTCGCGCACATTTTAAAGCGGCTCAGTTTTACATCTCTTCTTTTATCTTCTGAATTTTACAGTTCCAGTTTGTCCCGTTCGTCCGTGTAATTGGCCCGTGTCTTTCACGGTGTTTTCTGCCGCACGCACGCAAAGCTCGTTCCTCCCGTGGCTGTAATATTAATGCCAGGTTTGGATTATTTAATAGGTCCGCAAAAAAGAAAAAGGAAAGAAAGAAAAAGCGTTTCGGGGTTCCCCTCACGGCACGGTAACGCGGAACACGGTGACGGCGTCTCGGAGATAATTCTACACAAGATTAATTTCCAACAGCTCTCAGCTTATTATTGATTTATTTTTAAACAAACTTATGCGACACATTTAACGTCTTAATTACTCAAATTAATTTCCGATGACAGGATCACTTTGCCTCTAAACTTCTCAGCGTCAAATAATATTTTCTGGCCTCAGATCAGTTTTGTTGGACTTAAACGAAGATAAATCTTCACTGTTGTTTCCCATCAGTGCTTTTATTTATTTTTATTTTTTAACATCTGTATGTTTGGTTCACTGGCCTCTGTGCTCCAGCTGCAGGTTATTTGGGGAGACTTCTCTTGTGCTGCCAGATCAGATCAACTTACACTACAGTGTATCAGTGCTCACCTCAGTGTGTGTAACGTTTAGCTCTCAGTGCATGCAGGGCTTTGAGGCCACACAGGCATGTGTTTGCTGCGAGGCCATCGTGTGTCAGCCCAAACAGAGACCAACACCTGAAGTCAGATTAAATGTGCGCTCACATCAGGAGCAGCTCTGGTGCAGGCCCAGCATCGTGGTGATATCAGCCTCTGCTGCTCAGAGCAGAGACCAGAAATATGAAGGTGGAGGTTAATAAATGAGCAACGCAACATGCTTCTGCACATCCTGTAATTTATGATTCACACACACATGCATTTATTTATGTGAGCGCACACGTCAACACACACACACATATGCAAATGCACACACGTGAGTGAATCCTCCACTCGAGCCAACATTTTCAAAGAATTCCTCCGGAGCTGTCAGGTGATAAAATCCCTCTGACCTGGCTCTCCGTGCCGTGGATTTATAATTTGGATTTTGCAACACGACACACACCACAACACAATAGCTGCTTCTTAGTACACATGCAGGAAGAGGCAGGAACACTGAGGTAGATTTTTGTGCACTTTGGAGTCACAAAGTCCGACGCTCCCAGTTTCCTGCAAATCTTCCTGATTGTGATCATTCCCACAGTTTTAAAAATCCTCCATTTCTTTCCTTTTTCCAGTCGATTAAATCAACAAGCGATCACAGTTTGGAGCTGATCAGCTGATCATTGCCCTCACTGAACACGGAAGAACCACTTGCATGTTTATCGTCTACATCTACACTAAATATGCACCAAAGCCAGCGCCTCCCTGTAACAGTAAAATCAAACAAGAAGCCACCCAGAGCGGAATTTGGTGCAACTATTCCCTCAGGGGCAGGAGCTTCATCAGGAGGACTTTATATTGTTGTGTTTGTCTCACAGATTTGGGGGCATTTTTCTCCTCGCAGCAGCAGCAGCAGCAGTTTACACCTGAAGGTGCCTTCTGCTGCTCACTCCAAATAAGCCTGGCTTTGCTCTGAGAGGCTGATTTAAGCATGAAAAGACACAAACAGGACGAGAGCTGCCATTGTAGTCTCTCCCACACACACACACACACACACACACACACACACAGAGGGCTGTGTGTAAATTGCACTTGCCCACTTGAGATGCATGTTTCCTTTCGGCTTGTCAAATAGCCACGCACCCTGCTGGGGCTACGTCTTTGTTAGAGAGCGGGGAAGAAAGAGTCAACATCTCCTTCTTTTGAGCGTTCTCTGGATGAGGTGAGCTTCAGATAGCACACATGAAAATGCCGTGCTTCACTGTGGCTCATTAAGGATCACGTTTGTGAACGATTCGTAATGAAAATCCAAACAGTTTAATGCTCATTATTTTCAGAAACGTCTCAACTTAAAGGGTAAACAACAAACAGAAAAACGTATCATCATATTATTTCCACGGCGACTGTAAACTGACATAAATAATGTCCGTGGTGATGTGGTGTGTTTTTTCTAAAGAGACGTCATTTACGCAGCTGCCGGGTTTTAAACCATCAACCACATTTTTTAGTGGTTAAAAATAAAATGTGTGTTTCCTTAAATTTCCCACAATTTTCCTTCCCTGTAAATTATGATTTAAGAGCTTTTTATTGTTGCTGGAAATTAGAAAACATTTAAACATTTATGAGAAAAAATATAAATGTAACCTGAGTGTGTGTGTGTGTGTGTGTGTGTGTGTGTGTGTGTGTGCGCATGAGTGCAGCAAGTTTCCCCCAAAGCATGCCTGAACTCATTTAACGTGCACACAGTTTCACACACACACACACACTCCAACATATCCTGCATACCTTTGTAAGCTGTCTGTCTTCTCTGCGCCTCTTCCTGCTAGGGGGAGCTCTCAGGCTGTCAGAGCCACAGAGCTCTGCCAATGAGAGAAGTGGAAATGTGCTCTGAGTGTGTGTGTGTGTGTGTGTGTATGTGTGTGTGTGTGTGTGCGTGCGCGTGTTAATCAGATGACATCAGTGCTGAAAGACCACATTCACCTCTCTTAACTGTCAACAGCTGCACACTCGACTGTCTGCCTCTCCGTGGCACTTCTTATTTAGAGCATACATGTCAATTCACAGCAATGAGTGACACATTTCATGTGTGTGTGTGTGTGTGTGTGTGACTGGAGCCACATTTTAAAGTTGTAGTAAATTCCTGTGTGTGAATATCTCTGCATGTATTTTTGTGTGTTCTTATTCGAAGCGTTCGCTCTGCAGACAAACGCTTTGTTTTAAAACATATTTCATAATATTTGGTTTTTTATTAGAAATCTACAAATATAAGTTTATTTGATTGTTTTTATTTCTGTGTATTTTTGTCTATTTGGAGCATTTAAATTTAAACGAGTAAAAGAATAATAATTGTATTAAAATGCTGTGCTGTCATTTTTATGATTCTGAAAATTGGCCTTTTTGCATGTTGCAAAAAAAGAAAAATGAAACAAACAAACAAACAAACATTAGTCACTATTTCCACCTTACAGAGGTGAAAGCTGACCTCACTCAGTTTGGAGGATGAGCCGGTGACACAGCTGCTCTGCTGATTTGTGAGTAGCGCTTGTTTTCCGCGGCAGCCCCTCCTGCGCAGGTGGCTCTGCTCGGATCTCGCTGCTGTGGCCTCAAACACACCGGTACAATCCTTTGTGCGTTTGGCAGCAGCGCTCCTGATTGGCTCGACATGGTCATCCAAAGCTCACACAGGAGTTACTTTGAATTAGCTTGAATTAGCTTAAATTGATGTTTATTTCACACTCGACTGACTTTGAGAACAGGTCGTAAGTAAAACTGCGTCCTCGCATATTTTTAGTCGCCTAAACACTGAAAATGATTCTTTGAAGCTAAAAGAAAACAAAAAACATTTCTGAGGCGTTTTTAGTCTCATAGGTAGAAGAAGAGCGGTGACAGGAAGTGAGTGAAGATTGAAACTGGGGGGGAGATAACACCTGCTAACAGCGCGCTCCGTGCAGCGTCGACATGTTTACAGGTAAAGTAACGAGTTCAGTTTAAAATGTTACAAATGTGGAAAATGTATTTTTATAAAAAGAACAAGAAGCGGGATTATCTGCAAAATGAAACAACTTTTAGTCGTCAGCGTAAAATAAATCTACGTCACAAACGCGACTGTGAAGTTTTAAAAACTGGAAAGCCACTTCCTGTTTACACGAACGTGTTCTGAGGGCACATCTTAATGTTGACAGTCTCTGCGGTGCCACATGATTCTCAGCACTTTGAGTCCTCTCACTCTGCTGTCACCGACATCCACGCTCCGTCACGTACGAGCGCGTGCGAGTCACGTCCAGCCTCGGCTGTTCACGAATAAAAGTCATTCTTGCAAAACAATAAAAAGCTCATAATTTTAGATAAATAAAGTGTGTGTGTGTGTGTGTGTAACAGTACACGGTGACTGCGGGTAAATAAACAGTTTATCAGTCGACGAGTAAGCGAGCCGCTGTCAGCTTTGAGTGCGTGCCGTGAGCGAGTGTGTTACTCTGTGTGTGTGTGTGTGTGTG